TTTAAGTCCAAGTTCAAAGTGCCAGGCTCTAGGGGCTGGGTGAAAGCCCCTTGACCTTGGGCTTCAGCTCTGCCTCTTGCTCCCAGTCCACTGAATATAGAGGCATCTCTTCACTCAGACAGCTACTGGCTGCTGAGGCTAACAAGCCCAAGGTCGACAAATAAAATGGCACAGTCCTGACGTTACCAAACCACATGGCAGGCCATTAATTCAAGGGCATTGAAAGTCCCAAGGTTGGCAGAGCATGGCAGGCTGCTGAACGAAGATACAGCTACATGCAGGGTTCAAGTGTGCCATAAGCTGAAGACCACATACCCAAAGCAGTGCTCCAATAGCTTCCACCATGGAGTTAATTAACAATCTCACCATGGGAGATAACTACATTCAGCTGCCCAGCCACTCAACTAGGCCCAGGCAAGTTGACACATAAACTTAATGACCACGTGGGGTATATTTATCAGAAGAAAAATCATTGAAGTATTGGAAGGAGAAAATGCCGTGAGTTGGTTAATAGAGATAGAGTGTGTTATGTCAGTGAATTCAGATGTTGGGGAAAATTACACAAGTTGAATTCTTGGTTGCTCTGTTTATGGAGCTCTTTCCTCATGTTAATTCTTATAATGGAAAAGTCCACATGCAGATCAATTGGGAGCAGAGCTTCATGTGTTCTAGTGAGCTGCACCTTGGAGAGAAGTGGGAGAGGCGTTAGGGGAAGAGGATTACACAGTACAGTCCCAAGGGCATGGTCTTTTACTATAAATAAAGAAGACTGGACTAAGTGTGTAAACTGAAGAGAGCTCCTTGGCTCTGTACACCTGCCATCACTCATGCTGATGTAGCTGTAGTCAGTGTAAGGAAATTCTTCTGGATTTGTTTGTTCTGCCTGGAATCATCACTCTGTGGAAGGAGTCCTAGACTGGAAGCAGTAGAGCACATCGTTCTATTGGCTTTTGGTAGCTGACTTGGATTGCCAGCAATTCTAAGCTGGCTGATGTGATTGCTTCCCTAATGCCTTAATCCCCCTCCCATAAGGATATCTGTTGTATCCAAGAAGTTAAGAAATGTAAACCGAGAGGCAATAGAAACCTTCTTAAGGAGCTCTGGTGGCATAGTGCCTAAGGCACTTGACTGCTAACCAGAAGGTTGGCAGTTCAAACCCACCAGCCACTCCGTGGAAGGAAGACTGAGCAATCTACTTCTGTAAAGATTTACTGCCTTGGAAACCCTAATGGGGTCTCTATGAGTCAGAATTAACTCAACAGCAGTGAGTTTGGTTTGTTTTTTTGGAGAAACCTTCTTGACTAGCTTCTCTGTAGGCTTAGTAAGTCAGATTGCCCTATTATACCTCTCCTTTGTGGCATGTTGTTCTTAGTTGTGGTTGAGTCAGCACCAATTCATGGCAACTCCATAGACAAGAGAATGAAACATTGCCCAGTCTTAACATGGTTTTCACAATTGTTCTTATGTTCAAGTCTGTATCGTTATTTTACTTTTATTGGTGTGATGATTTGATACACATCTGCCTTCACTAGTGAACATACGGACATTTAATATCTGTCATATGCTACCTGACATTGTTAGTTTTTGTATCCTTATTTTATCACTTATTCTAACTAAAGCATAAACCCCTTTATACTATCCATGTGTCCATGATGTGTATAGTATAGTTCCCTGAGTAATGCTGTGGAATTCAGAGCTAGAAAGATTTAAGACTCATTTGATCTTAACTTTTAAAGAAAAGATGGCCATTAGATGATTGAGGCATTCCAAAAAGAAGGCAATGGCTTAAGCAAAAGTATAGAAAGAAGTAAAGTTAAGTCCATTTATAGTAGTAATAAAAATAACAGCAACACTTAACATTTATTGAGTACTTACTATGTGTTCCTAATTAGTTGCCAGGAATTTTGGGAAAATAATTTTTAATTTTTCTGAATTTATCTTGAGAAAAATTTTCATTTGAAATAGTTACACATATAAACTTCTAAGGTTTTTTTTTTCTTTTTAAGGAAAGCTTAAAGAATAGTAAGAAATAGATGGATAAATATTTATATTAAATAAATTAAATTTGACATAGGTGAAGAAGTGGAGAAAAGATAGGAGATTTCTAAATATAATAAAAACTAACAACTTAAAACAATTTTATAAGGTAGATTCTATTATTATTCCCATTTTACAGGTAAAACTCAGGTACAGAGAGAATAAGTATCTTGCCAAAGTTCACTTAACAGTGTGTGGTGGAGCTAAGATTTGAACCCCCTGGAATCTAACTCCATATTCCAATTTTTCACTTCTGTGAAAAAAAAAAGCCCCATATTACAGGAGATTTCATGAGGAAAGTTTTACTAACTTTTAACTTTGCAGAGGCAATACTTGCATCAGATATCTACATGCATAAAATAAATGGACTCATGACTTACTTGATCCCTTTCTTTCACTCAAATGTTTCCTTTTCAGAGATAAAGTAAAATTGAGTAACAGTGCAGGCAACTGTAAAATTGTAATGGGATAGATAACAAAATGACTTCTAGATAGTTTTGTAACATCTGTGGTTAGATGAACAAATATGTAAAACAGGCAGACTAGGAGGAGTATTTTCTACGTGGGATCTGGTTTTTCCCCTAAGGTGAAGCAAGCTATTAGACAGATCAAAGTAGAATTGAAAACAAGAACTATAAAAGTTACAAAGTTTAAAAAGATTATTATTAAAGGGTAAACATACAAGGACATAACATACTCATTTTCAGAACAAACAACAGAAGACATTGCATGAATATTCTATTTGAATGTAAAATTATGTCAGCTTAATTGAGCTTTTTTCTTTTACTATTAAAGGTTTTTTGTTTTGGTGAGGTTTTAAAAATAAAAATTCTCTTAAAAATTTTTGTGTGAAAAAAGATGCCATGCCATTTATATAAAACATAACATGGACTTTATATAAAGAAGGATATTCAGAATTCCATTAAGTAAAGTTGGCTTTAGGTCGTCAATGTATTTATTTAATCAATTAAAAAATACCAGAGAACAGATTTACTTTAAGTAAATTACAGCTCAAAAAATCTGATATTTAAAAAGAGGAAAACATCTATTGTTGTAGCTTCTGTGTTTGGAAGAGAATGGTGGTCACCTGATTGCTCTGCTCAGCCCCACCCTATCCCCCACTTGGACCGTAAGATCAACAAGTAAGATCAAACCACATAGGGCCTTTGCATGTAGCAGTACTAACGACCCAAACCAAACACACTGCCGTCCAGTGGGATCCAGCTTGGAGCGGCCCCTCCTTGGGTTTCCGAGGCAATACCACTGCGGAAGTAGATTCCCCAACCTTCCTTCTGAGGAGTGGCTGGTGGGTTTGAACTGCTAGGAGACAGAAAGTATCATGGCCTTCACATTACCTGTAAGTTGAGAAATAACCCAAATTCCAGTAAAGATCCTGCTACTTCAAGCCCAGTAGTTCAGATCTCAGTTTTCTAAGCATTTGCTAAACTGGTTTGAGCCAGGCTCACATGTGTGATTCAGGGCTTCAGCTGAAGCTTGTGAGAGTTCACAAACAGAATCCTTTTCTCCACATCTTTCCCTTCAGGATTTGCCTCATGCACTCGTTTCCCTGGTTCCTTGGGCCAGAGAAGTAGTAAAGTTTCTTATGTTGGAAGTTTAGCCTCCTGTGTTGTTTCAAAACTGGGGCCCATCCTTAGGGCAAGGCTGTGAAATAGGGAAAAGACACAAAACTGGATATTTACCCTGAGGTGGTTTGCTTTTCCAAGTTTTTACTCCTCTTTACAATCTACCTGCCTTTGTGTACTTTTCACAGTCCTCAGGTGGTATGTGTGAAGGTGTTTTGGCCTCGAGTTAATAGTAGTATACAGTGGACGGATAGGCTATCAGGGAATTGCACTTCCCTAGCAGAAACCAAACTCTCATTTTTCTGTTTGTTCTTCATGCCGGTTTGTATCATTTTTGATGGATGTGTTGGGAGATTTGAATTTACTGCTTTGGTAGTCAATACTGAGTTTTGTCTCAGAATCTAGCCTAACACTTCTTTGTTTTGTTTTGTTTTTCTTTCTTTTTTCCTGAATGCTTGTTCTAGGTGCTCTAAAGTTCAGAGGTTCAAACCCACCAGATGGTCTGCAAGAGAAAGATGGAGCAATCTGCTTCTGTAACGATTTACAGCTCTGGAAACCCTATAGGGCGGTTCTGCTGTGTCCTGGAGGAGTGCTAGGAGTCGGAATCAACTCGATGACAGTGGGTTGTTTTTGTTGGTTTGTCTGAATGCTTGTTCTAAGAACTATAATACAAACCAAAACCAAACTCACTGCCATCGAGCCAATTCCAATCTGTAGCAAGCCTTCTTTGGGTTTCCGAGGCAGTATCTCTAGCGGAAATAGGTTGCCCAGTGTTCCTCCCAAGGGGTGGCTGGTGGGTTTGAACCGCCAGCCTCCTGGTTAGCATCAGCAGTCAGATGCCTTAGGCAGTACGCCACCCTTAAGAACTATAATAGGAATTAAAAATTTTAAGTAAATTGACAACCTTATAGAAACATTTATTCTGTCCGATTTGTAATATAAAGTTAAGTTAGAAAAGAATGGTACAACAATAAATACTAAAAAAAAAAAAAAAACTAGTCATAGTCAGTGAATTTCAAAGGAACTTATTCTAGGTGGAAAAAAGTCACAATATTTCAAAATTCTCATAAGAAAATAGGGCTTCTTTTTTTTTAGATAGCTTTATCTCAATAAAGAGCATAAAAAATTTTAATCCTGAAATAACCCCATGAGTTTAATCCTGTGTTCTCTTATGTCATTTCCAAGATTGTCATGAGAGAGATGTTCATTTTTTGTGTGTGTTTACATGCAGTTGCATACACTAATGTAGTTCTTTATACTTTTTTTCTTCTTGATCTCTGGACTGTTAACATTTATTAATGACCCCAAACCTGATGTATGGGTGATGCTATTCAAACTTCAATACTTTATAGAGTTCAGCTTCTTGTTTTTCCCTTTCAGATGGTCTTCTGGTGGTTGGTGTTCACTCAGCTAAGTTTCCAAATGAAAAAAGCCTGGACAACATTAAGAGTGCTGTTCTACGCTATAACATCACCCACCCAGTGGTTAATGATGCGGATGCCAGCCTTTGGCAAGAACTGGAAGTCTCCTGCTGGCCAACTGTGGTCATACTTGGACCCCGTGGAAACATGTTGTTTTCTTTGATAGGAGAGGGACACAAAGACAAATTATTTTTGTATACTTCAATAGCTTTAAAGTATTACAAAGAGAGGGGACAGATCAGAGATAAAAAAATTGGAATAAAACTCTATAAAGACTCTTTGCCGCCTTCACCATTGCTGTTTCCTGGCAAAGTAACAGTAGACCCTGTTACTGACAGATTAGTAATAGCAGACACTGGACATCATAGAATTTTGGTTGTCTGGAAGAATGGACAGATTCAGTACAGCATTGGAGGTAAAATGTGTTTCTAATTGTGTGTGATGTGTTTTACGGTAAAAAAAAAATGCAAAATTTAAATTTATAAATATGAATTATAGAAAGGCAATATTCATTGACTTTTTATCATGAAAATATTTTGTTAATTAATGTATAATAACAATTAACTTTTTCTTACTTTCTCTGAAAATAAACACAAATCCCCAAAGAAGCTCCATTCAGGTTGCAAGGGGAAAAATCTTTTAAGTGAGAGCTTTAAAATACATTTGCATATCCTGTTTGCCGAAAACCGTTTACTATTGTATCTTATGAAAGATATATACCCTCTGGATTTCATTTTAAATGGAAGTATTATATTTCACTTTTCATCAAAATATAGCCATATCTTTTCAAAACCCTATTGTACCCCAGGAACTTGGGATTTAGATTATAAAATAAATAAGTTAGGATTTCAAATAGTTTTACTTTCCTTCCATAAGAACTTTAGTATCCTCTGGACCCATCCCTTTGGGTAGAGCAAAATAAGTATCATACGATCATAACAAATCTTGGATAACATTGGGAAGAATAGGAATTCCAGAGCACTTCATTGTACTCATGAGGAACCTGTGCGTAGACCAGGAGGCTGTCATTCAAACACAACAAGAGGGCACTGCTTTAACATCAGGAAGGGAGTGTGTTAGGGTTGTATCCTTTCCACATTCTTATTCAATCTGTATGTTGAGCATATAATCTGAAAAACTAGACTGTATGCAGAACGTGACATCAGGATTGGAGGAAGAGTCATTAACCTGTGATATGCAGATGATACAACCTTGCTTGCTGAAGTTTGCAATATGGATTATACTTCAACATAAAGAAAATAAAAATCCTCACAACTGGACCAGTAAACAACATCATGATAAATGGAGAAAAGATTGAAGTTGTTAAAGATTTCATGTTACTTGGTTCCAAAGTCAACAGCAATGGAAGCAGCAGTCAGGAAATCAGATGACATATTGCACTGGGAAAATCTGCTACAAATGACCTCCTTAAAGTGTCGAAGAACAAAGACATCTCTTTGAAGACTAAGGTTTGCCTAACCCAAACCATGGTATTTTCAGTCGCTTCATGTTCATATGAAAGCTGGACAATGAATACGGAAGACCAAAGGAGAGTTGATGCTTTTGAGTTGTGGTCTTGGCAAAGAATACTGAAAGTATCACAGACTGCCAAAGAATGAACAAATCTGTCCTAGAAGAAATGCGGCCAGAATGCTCCTTGGAAGTGAGAATGGCCAGACTTTATCTCAACTACGTTGGTCATGTTGTCAGAAGGGACCATTCCCTGGAGAAGGATGTCATGCTTGGTAAAGTGGAGGGTCAGTGAAAGAGGGGAAGGCCCTCAGTGAGATGGATTGACACGGTGGCTGCAATGATGGGCTCAGGTACAGCAAGGATTGTGAGGCTGGCACAGGACTGAGCAGTGTTTCGGTTGCTGTGGGTCGGAGCTGACTTGATGGCATCTAACAAGAAGCATGGATTATTTTGTTCTATATCTCTCTGATTTCAAATCTAAAAAACGTTCTTGTTTACATCTACATAATTGATAGAATCCATTATGTACACTCTTATTAATACACCCTTATTAATCCTTATTATCGAGGCTGACTGGCTATCTATAATGTATCAGTCAAAGAGAAAAGCAGTTCCTCTGTTGCAACCATGCTTTAGGAACACGTGCTATGTTAATGCATAGAATAGGAAAATCAGAAATCCTAATGAAAATGTTAACCATATTCATAAGCTCTCATGCTATTCTTAGCATGCCAAGATACTGTTTCCTTAGCTCTTTAATTTTTTATGTTTCTCCTTCCTAACAAAAGTTACTTTTGTAGTTGCAGTTTAGAGTATGTGTGTATTTGCTTTGTTTTGGCTGCTTAGTATTTTGATTTATGACAGGCAGTTATAATTGTTACTCAGAAAGTGTCTGTTGTAGATGCTTGAATTTAAATGCTTTAAAAGGGTTTTTTAATACACTCTATAATTTTCAGAATAGTGTAGAATACTCTCCTTATTAAACACATAAACCCCTAGCAAGCTACATTTCCCAAGCCTTGTTTCTAGCAATACTGTTATCTTGTGATATATTAATAGCTATTTATAAGTTGTTGTTTTTTAATGAATTCCTTGGTCAGATACACTTGTGATACACTGATTTGATGTGATTTAACATTTTTTGTTGTTAGGGTGTCACAGGACTTCTCTAGTCTTTTACTCTGCTAATGTACTCATGAATATTCAAGAAAAGGTTATAATATACAGAATTCTCCAATCCACGGTAACCATAGAACTGTCCCTTTACTTCCCCCAGGGAATTCCCATCAATAACAACAATTGTAATAAGAATGATAGCAACAGTAATAATTACAGCAAATACTTGCATAGTGCAAGTACACACTTGGCACTTTACATGTATTAACACATTCAGTTTTTACAATGCCCTGAGGTAGGTACTATTATTAGTCTCATTTTACAGAAGAAGAAACAGACAAGTCACCATCTAAGAAGAAATAGAGCTAAGATTTGAAGCAAATCTGTTCGGCTCTAAAATTAGCGAAACTTCGGCTGTTTGAACACACTAATGTGTTGGGCTAAAGACCCAGCACTCTCCTTTGGTTCCATAAGGATTACAGCCAAGAAATTCCTATGGGGAAGTTCTGCTCTTTCACATGAAGTTGCCATGAGTTGAAATGGACTTGATGGCACCTAAGAGCAGCCACTGCATTATTCTGCCTCTCTTACTAACATCTAGGACAATAGGATTCTGCAAAGCATGGTTTGGGGATGCTGGCCTAGACGCTTGAAATGCCTTGTCCTTTGGTCACAGCAATAGCAATTATTTACATTTTGTTTTGTTCTCTGCACCCTGAAACTCCACATGTATTACAAACGCAGAGAAGTCGACCATGAGACCAGAATCACTCTCTGTCTAGATCATGCTCTCTTAAAGTATGAAATGTTCTAGAACTTTGTGGCAAAGTGAAATGGTAGGTATGAGGGATTCTTAATCTGGGGTTCCTTAAGAAACGCATGAATGGCCCTCGGCGATCTAGGAGCCCCTGAAACCGTTTGTAGCATTTTATGGGCATGTATATTTTTCTGGTGAAAGGGTTCATAATTAACGTTTTATCAAAGAAATATATCTTCCAAAATTGTTAAAAATCATTCATCTAGATGCTCAAAGATTAAATTTCTTTTTATCTCTTTCTGGTCTAGATAATATGTAATTAAGATGCTTTAAAAGTTATTTTCTTAAATGGTACTGTACTTAAGTGCATTAGTATTCATTATGCTGTAAGCCCTGTTATTAGCAAAAGTCACATTTGAGAAAAATAGATTATTTTGGGGAACCATTTTCATTTTAAAATAGAAGTATCATTTATTGGGAGCTCTGGTAGCATAGTGCCTAAGGCACTTGACTGCTAACCAGAAGGCTGGCAGTTCAAACCCACCAACCACTCCTTGGAAGGAAGATGAGGCAATCTACTTCCATATTGATACTGCCTCAGAACCCAAGGAGGCGTCGCTATGAGTCAGGTCCAACTCGACGGCATACAACAACAACAACATCATGTTATTTATATTAAAATCCAAGCTTAAGTGCAAATCTTATATTTTTTGTTTTTCCTTATGATTACTTTTTGAGTGTGAAAATTTGTGTCTTTTTCAGGACCTAACCCTGGAAGAAAAGATGGATCATTTTCAGAGTCAACTTTTAATTCACCACAGGGTGTAGCCATGATGAATAATACAATATATGTGGCAGATACTGAAAACCACCTTATAAGAAAGGTAATTTTCCATTTGAAAGGAAAAGTTATAGTGTTTCTAATTAGAAAAATTGCTATTTATTTGCTCCATTAAATATTTGACATTAAAGAGCAATGACAGGCATCTCAAAGCATCTTACTCAGCTTTTTTCTGAGGTGCTTTAGTTTTATTCATACCTACCTTGTTTTTCTGTGTCAAGCCTGTATTGTACTTTTTTTTCATCCTTTGTTTCATAGTCATTTGCCTAATCCAACAAAGCCGCTCAATGGGAACCCTTCTCATGCCCAGTGACAGTTAATTTCCTTTCCTACCTACTCCTGGACCAAGGCAACCCCCAGTTTACTTTCTGTCTCTCTAAATTTTCCTCTCCCTTCAGTTTTTTTTTTTTTTTTTTTAAATTTTTTTCAGAATGATTGGCGTTAACTCTTCTTTAAGTGTTTGATAAGTGTTTGGTAGAAGTGTTTGACCTTGGGCTTTGCTTTGTTAGACGTTTTGATTAGTGATTTAATTCTGTTTGTAAAAATCTTCAATTTCCTCATCTTTGGCATTGGTGGTTGGTATGTAAATTTGAATAATAGTAGTATTAACTGGTCTTCCTTGTAGGTGTATAGATATTATCCTATCACTGACAGCATTGTACTTCAGGATAGATCTTGAAACATTCTTTGTGACAATGAATAACATGCCATTCCTCTTGAATTTGTCATTCCTGGCCTAATAGATCATTTGATTGTCTGATTCAAAATGGTCAAAACTAGTCCATTTCAGCTCACTAATGTGTAGGATATCGATCTTTATGCTTTCCATTTCATTTCTGACAACTTCCAATTTTCCTTGATTCATACTTCATATGTTCCACGTTCCTATTATTAATGGTTATTTGCAGCTGTTTCTTGTCATTTTGAGTTGTGCCACATTAGCAAGTGGAGGTCCCAAAAGCTTTACTCCATCCACATCATTAAGGGTGACTCTACTCTGAGGAGACAGCTCTTCCCCATTTGTATTTTGAGTGCCTTCCAACCTGTTGTCTAACAGCACTATTCAGACAATGTTTCAGGGCTATTCATAAAGTTTTCCAGTAATATATCAGACAGTGTTTCACTGTCATTCATAAGGTTTTCACTGGCCAATACTTTGAGAAGTGGATGGCCCCTTCTTTCTTCTGAGTCTGTCTTAGCCTGGAAGCTCCATTGAAACCTGTCTGCCATGGGTGACCCTGCTTGTATTTGAAACACTGATGGTATAGCCTCCAGCCTCATAGCAACACACAGGCACCACAGTGCTACCAACTGACAGCTGAGTACTGTTTGTATGAAATACATTTTTCAATCCTTTCACTTTCAAGCTGTCTGTATCTTTGGATCTAAGTATGTCTGTTGTAGACAGCATATAGAGGGATCATGTTTTCATGGTTTCTTTTAGGTCTTTGTACATGGTTTCCTTTACATCTTTGCGCATATTTTAAAGCGTTGACTTCAAGTCTTTGTTTAGTAAGTTCAATGTTTGGGCTTCCTCAGAGATAATTTCTATTAATTTCTTCCCCCCCCCCATGAATGGGCCATATTTTATTGTTCCTTTGCATGCCTTATAATTTTTTTTCTTTTTTTTGAAAACTTAGATTTTGAGTATTATAATGTAGCAACTTTGGAAATGAAATTCCTCTCCATGTACCACCCCTGCAGGGTTTGTTGTTGCTGTTTATTGTAGTTCTTGTTGTTTTGTTGTACCAAGCATAATGGAAATATATATACTTTTATGAAACATGCATTTTGGTAGATTGTATTTTAAAATTCCAAATTTCACTGTCTGTTAAATATTTTATAGTTAACATGAGCTTAACATCAGTGCTGGTGGAGGCAAGTGGGGAGCTGAACAGGAAAGGTAATGAGAAGGACTGAGTTTTGTGAATGTAAATAACAGGAAGTCCACCCTATAATTGATTCATCTTTTTTAAAAAGACTATGTTGCAAATATATTGTATGTGTTCTGTTGGAAATTTTCACATGCATACCAAAGAAAAAAAGCAAAAATCATGCATTGCATAAAACATTCATTACATGTCTGTAGATTGACCTGGAAGCTGAGATCGTGAGCACTGTAGCTGGCATTGGGATTCAAGGTACAGATAAAGAAGGTGGAGCCAGAGGAGAACAACAACCCATCAGTTCCCCTTGGGATGTGGTTTTTGGAACATCAGGTATGTAAACTTTTAAAATTAAATGTAAGTAAACTTGGCTTAATAAATGTAAGATTTTAAAAATATTCTTGGGACATTCATTTGGATAGATTCTATTGCTGGTTATTTCATACGTTTATACCTGTGAGTTGGAATTTGTTAATTTTGTCAAAACAAAGGCAACAGTAATATATACAACAGAGTATATATTATCATATATAAGATAGGTAACATTTCACATTATATTTTATATACAAGATAGTAATGTAAAGAATTACATCTTAGCTGTAACCTCTATTTAATATAGTTCTAAATATCCTCCACTTTGAAAGAATTAGTTTCAGAACTTCACAAGTTGTTCGTGAACTAGATCATAAAACAATGTCTTAATTTACTCTAATTTGAGAAATAAAAAGTGATGGGTTTTTTTTTCAGATTTTTAAAATTTGTCTTGAAATGATAGTTGCTCTTCAGCAATTTGGAAAAACAAAACAAACAACAAAAAAAAAGTACTGAATTATGTAGATATTGATAAAGAATGAGACTTATCTTTATGGTCTTTAATACCTTTATGAATTACTGACAGATATTCTAGGAGCATTTGCCTCTTCTTTTTCGTTGGCCCTCAGCAATACTGAAGTGACTGTCTACAGATCTATAACTAAAAAACCAAAACAAACTCACTGCTTTGAAGTCGATTTCAACTCATAGTGACCCTCCTTGGGTTTCTGAGGCGGTATCCCTATAGAAGTAGATTGCCCAACCTTCCTTCCAAGGAGTGACTGATGGGTTTGAACCTCTAGCCTTCTGGTTAGCAGTCAGATGCCTTAGGCAGTATGCCACCAGAACTCCCTAGATCTATAACTAGATTAATAAATCAAGAAAGTTAGAATGAAACATTGAAAATGGAATTTGGGACTAAATGATTTATATGGTCTTAATATATTTAAAGAATGAATAAGCACCAGGTTAGTTGAATGTCTTTACATTTAAGATAATTTTTATATTATGCCAATTTGGTTACAATTAAAAGACCTTAATTTTTTCCTTTCTGCTTAGCTTTTATCAAGCTTTTGATATTCATAAAATAAACTAATGAACTCTGGTACTACCTGAATTTTATATATTTAGCTTAGGTATTTTGGGTAAGTTATGTTTTGAGAATTCCATTTTTGAAATTCTGTGTTCTAAATAATTATGAGTTATTTTACCTTGTTCACCAGGAAAGTGAGGAGGGTGGCAGTGGGAGTTGTGCCGGAAATAAGCAGATATGAGTTTATGTAGAGAATTTAAAGCCGTGCTGAAACCAGTTAAAACTCTGTCTGCTTTTTATTACCATGCACCAGCAATTCTAAGCAGTTATAGGGTTAAAAATATTCATTCCCACCAGGACTTATCACTCCTACTTCCAGCTGTCCTATACTACTGAGCCATGTAAGCATAAATCTCTTCTAGATGGAAAAACAGTCTGAAACAAACAAGTAAAATGGTCACAGTGGGTGAGAATTGTTACTTTGGTATTCTGTTACCCTTTCTCAAGGAAAAAAGAAAATTCTGTCCTAATATGTAAGCCCCAGTGATTTATAGCTAATGGTCCATATAGCAATTTAGTCATGGATATTTACATATTGCAACTTACATGCTGTATCTCCTGTACCTATTAGCACTTAACCACAATAATGCTGCATAAGAAATCATCCCAAACTCTTACCTACTGAAACTTTTCCTTCTGACTCACGTGGGATTGGCATTCAGCTTATCGAGGATGAGCCAGCCTGGCATAACTCCCGACTGCTTGTTGGGTTCAGATCTGCTCCATGTGTTTCATCCTCGTGGACCAGTAGCTGTCTGAGGCCTGTTTTCTGGGTAGAAGGCAGGTGCATAAGAGGCTAAGCCCAGTTACACATATTTTAAGCCTTTGTTCCTGTCATGTCAGCCTATATGCTGTTATTAAAGCAAATCATAGAACCAAGCTCAAAGGACAAGACCCTGGGGAGGATGTAGAAACCCATGAGAGCTGCAATGCTCTGGGACTGTTTTTCCAGGTCTCACAAGCTTTCCACCATTGACAGGGTACAGTCTTACCACTTTTCTTTCTCTCTTTTCAGTAGAAAAGATTTTTGAGTTTTCCTTCTCTGATAAGTTTCCGCCTTATCCAGGTTCCAACTTTTGCAGGTTTTATTGTATCACTACAGAGGAGTGAAGAATTGAGACCAATAAGTCAATCTAATATATATCAGAATTTACATTGCTTAAAAACAAGATGTACTTTACTGAATTTTTACTAAATTGGTTTATTTAATGGTCACATTTTAAATTTTTTCTAGGCTAAAGTATTTTCAATCGTGCTTTATGGCATGGAGTTTCTGGTTGTTTATCTCTGTATTGAGAATGTACCCAAAATTCTTTCCAAAATCTTAGAAAATCTCGGCTCTATTCATAAGTCTCCCTCAGCTTCCAACTGGAATAACATGCTATTTGAGACTAGCGTCTTTTCTAGTCAAGGAAGGGAGTCCTACCTCAGCTCAATAGATTATTAAAAGCATATGGCTGTGCATTTAACTTAAAACTTAAAATATCTTCATGCTAGGCATCTGGGTTGAGTAATCTTGAATCCACTTAAGCTCAATGCCTTTTAGAACAGTGGCTAAAAGAAAATGTTTTTCAAGCACTGTATGAAGAAGTTAGCATCACAATGACTATCATGGTTAGGCTTTATAAGGTACTTAAACCTCCCAGAAATTCTGTCTAAGATTGGGCGACATGGTCGACGGCTTTCATTGGATTTAAGATTTAAAAACCACTGGTTTATATCAGTAGAAGTGAATCCTGGATTGATGTATATTGGGGGATATGGGGAAACTAGATCATAGAATATTTGTTCTTCTTACAATTACTTTTATTAAACTATTCTGGCATGATGTCATTCATTGAGAAATATATCAACACACAAACATATCACATTCATTTATATTTATATGTGTGTGTTTTTCATATTATTTACTTCATCAAAACACAGCCCTATAAAACTTGCTACTGTTTTGACTATAAGAACTTGCTAGTGGTTTCAGTTACTGCATTATAAATGATTTCTCTGATTATCTACTGTAGAAATTATTTTCTGGCTCCGTGTTCTGGATAATTATACCTGAGCATCAAGTTTGTCTTTAAGCTTCTGGATATTTTAAAATCATAACTGATTACTTTACATTGTTATATTGACTACTGGGAGATATAGGTACACATTTATCTTCAGCAGAGTAGAATGGATACAGGACATTCATTTCTTAGTGTTACTGTGGTTGCATCTTTCATTTTCTCCTTATTTACCTTTTACTTCATTTTCTTTAAATCATATTTATCTTACTAGGGTTTCTTTTTAAGCTACCTGAATCCCTTGTGAAAGAAAAGTAGAAGCAAATAAATACAGTATTGAAATGACTGAGTCTGATGATTGATGTGTATAGAAAAACATCTGTAAAGCTGGCAATCATAAAGAATCTAAAAATATTTTAATAAAGGAGGAGGAAAAGAATATGATCCTAGAGGGATGCATGGGGGTTTCAAATAACGTCTTTATTTTAATTTAAGACATAGAAATGTACATGTTTTTAGCCAGTCTTTTCATGTGGGACAAAAGCCTTTTCTTTAAGAGAGCCCTGATAGTCTTTCTTGCACCACTGAAAATGTGTTGTTTTGGTTTCATTAAAGTGTGGTGAGAGTTTAAAAATACCTGAAAGGAACTGAGGGCTGATGGCCAGTAGGATTTTACAATTATTTTGTTTAACCTATTCTTTTCACTTGTCTTGTTCATTTCTAACTTAATACCAGTTTAACTTAGCTCCTTACTTTCATTGGTTTTGAAGTATTCAGCTTTGTTTTCATAGAAACAGTTTTCTTTTTGCATTCATATTTCATTGATTCATTCAGTGCTTAAATTACATAACTGTACAGCTGGCATAAACAAACATGCAGATAAGCAGAATTTGAAGGGGAATGTGGCTGAGAAAAATTGTTTTCCTTTAAAGCACATTTTTTAGTACCCAACACATTTATAGAATACTTCTGAAATCAACCATAGTTGGAAATTGAGAGAAGATGGAATTATCAGAAGGAAAATAAGAAAAAAAATAGATTAGGTATTGTGATGCTTTATACAGTGAGCTGGGAGCTCTGCTGGCATACTGCCTAAGGCATTTGACTGCTAACCAGAAGGCTGGCAGTTCAAACCTACCAGCTACTCCTCTGAAGGAAAATTGGGCAATCTACTTCTGTAGAGATACTGCCTTGGAAACCCAAGGACAGGTCTCTATGAGTTGGAGTCGACTCGAAGGCAGTGAATTTGGGGTGTGTTTTTTTCATACAGTGAGCCCCACTACAGTGCTAATGAATGGGCCACAACTACATCCAAAAGCATGGACAAGTATAGGGGGGATTCTGAAAAAAGCAAGATACAGAAGACATTTATAATATGGTTCTTTTATAGAAAGTTCAATAGCAGGCATGACTAAATAATAATTGAGAGATGCTTTCTAGGAGGAAGAGAAGATCACAGGGAGGGATCTATGGGAATTTCAAATAATGTCTGTCTTAAATTGGGTGGTGTGCCCATGGGTGTTTAGTTACTGTTGTTTAAACTTACATGTGTATCCCTTTGTATGTATATTTAATTAAAAATCTTTAAGCATTAGTCTATAAACACTTAGTAGGCATTAAGAAGAAAAAATAGGTAAAGGGGATGACAAATAACAAGGACAAATACACAGTTGATTATATATCCTGCCAAGGGACCCAGAAAGGAGTGGGGAAGGTGCTTGGAAATAACTCGGATTATTAAAAATATATATGTAATAGATAAATGTAGTATGTATATCTTTTCATTGTTGTTGTTGTTACGTGCCATCAAGTTGGACCTGACTCGTAGCGACCCCTCCTTGGGTTTCTGAGGCAGTATCACTACGGAAGTAGATTGCCCAATCTTCTTTCCAAGGGGTGGCTAGTGGGTTTGAACCGCCAGCCTTCTGGTTAGCAGTCAAGTTCCTTAGGCACTACGCTACCGGAGCTTCTATCTTTTAATTAGTCCCTGAATATTTTTCCTAATTGTGCCATTTCAGGATAAAGATGTGAAAATAATTAACCTAAAGTGATTTTTATAAAAGTAAGTGTTCTTTTTTCATTCTTCTTTTTGATTATCACTGTAAATGTAGTCAGAATTTCATAATGCACTGATAATAATTCCTAAATTGTAAACATTCATTTTTTTTCCAGCAGAAACCTTGCCATAATGCCAAAATATGCATCAGGTCTGTGCTGATTCTTCTCATATGCCACATAGTCACCTGAGAGGCTTTTGTTTTGTTTTTTATAAATCATAACGGTTAGAACCCTGCCAGTGTCTCAAATACTTTAGACTTTACCTGATTTAGACTCATTTGTGAAAAGGATAATATGCCCCAATCCCATTAACCTTCCTTGGCCCTTTCATCATCATTTTCCCCAGATAAAAGGTTAACTGTTCTTACACAACCTTTAAAGGTTGTGCTGGGCTGATAATCTACGGTGTTTAGATAATAGGCTTCTCTCATTTCCATTAATATCCTATAAAATACCATTAAAATAGTTCTCCTTTAAAAACAATCATGAGACAGACATTTTGAGGAATACATTTTATATAATGTCATTAGTGCCTTTTTATTTTGTTAAATAAAATAACAAAGAATTACAGTATTTTTATACCTAAAATTTGAGAATTATAGCAAAGAATTATAGTATTTTTATACCTAAAATTTGAGAAGGATTCTTATACTCCTACCACGTTGACTTTATGTTGGTAAGATTTTTCAGTCAGACGAAAACTGTTTGCCCTTGAGTCACCCCCACTCCTGGTGAGCCCTGGTGAGTCGGTGGCCCTGTGCTCCATGGGTTTCCAGTGGCTGATTTTTCAGAAGTAGGTCACCAGGCCTTTCTTCTGAGGCCTTCGGTCAGTAGCCAAGCACATTAACCATTTGTACCACCTGGGGCTCCTCATAAGCACAGGGCTCCAGATGGTTCGAGAGGCAGTCCCAGCTGATCTGACCAAACTGATGCAAGATGATGGTTCATGTTTCAAGAGAATAAAAGTCCAAGAATCTTTTTTTAAAAAACTCAACTGCCTAAAGCATGATTCTGATGAGATCATGTACTTTCTAAAAATCTTCCATACCTCCTACTGTCTTGGAGAATAACATCCAGACTGCTTAGTCTGATAGTTAAAGAACTTCTATAACTTGGTCAGGTGAAAGTGAGGGACACCTTCCATGAGGTGGGTGGACACAGTCGCCCCAGCCCTGGACGCAGGCACACCGGTGATCTTGAAGTGGTACAGGACTGGGAAGTGCTTCCCTCCGCTGTACAGCAGGCCACCATGGGTCAGCGCCAACTTGATGTAGCTAGCAGTGTGGGGAGGGAGGGACAGAAGAGGTGAGCCCGGCCACATGTCCTAGAGCAGGAGGCTAGATTACTTTGATGAGATCCCTGTTTCTAATCACATGTGAAAATGCACTTGAGTACTTGATGCCAGAGCTAAGTTCATGGGGCAGAGGCAGAAGGGAGAGAGCAGAAGGGGCCAACAGAGAATTGGGCAGAAGAGCACACGCTCACTTCTGTAGGTCTTTCATTCCAGTAATAACACTGATGTGGAGTCAACTTCATGAATGGATTCACAATCCCAGATCTATCATATACTTACTAGTTGTATGAATGTTAGCAAACTATTTACTGACCTCTTTGAATTTGTTTCTTTGTAAAATGGAAGTGATTATAGTGAAACTTAAGGTTAAGTTAAGGAAAATAACCCATGTACTGCTTAGCTCAGTGCCTTATGCATAGGAAGTGCTCTGCCTGGCTGTCTGTATTACCATCATCATCTTCACCACATAACATCATGTGGAGTCATCATCACATAGAATCCCAGACACCTGAATCCTCACTTGCCACAGCCTCTGCTTCTGTACTTTCTCTCAGCCCAAGGCTTATAAAGGAGAAAAGTAAACAGGAGGAGTCCAAACAGATGCTCATACGTGATTACTGGATGCTTTTGGCTTGAAATGCTTACACAAAATTACAAGTCCAAAGGAGTAAATCTTTCACTAGGAAAATGGGAAATTTCAAAAACAACTTAAAGCATTATTTTTATTTTCCCTTATTAGATAATTTGTGAACATACTGCTGCCTTCCCTGAATTTAAATTTCTAAAACAATTTGAGTGTTTATATTTATCAGATATGTATCTAATAACTGCTGTTTTGGTTTGATAAAGCTTCAGAGGTTCAAAGAAGTGACATTCTGTGGATCGCCATGGCAGGGACTCATCAGATATGGGCTCTCCTATTGGACTATGGCAAACTACCAAAGAAAAAGTAAGTGGCAGCGTCTGTCTTTGAGTTAATGAAAGGTCTTCACTGTGTGCTTTAACCTCAAAGCATTACTGCATTACTTGGAGTTCACAGAATTCCCTTTCCCAAGGTCACCATCCTAGCACTCCCCACTGTACTAGTCCAGGATATACTAGGCTACGTTATTTTTTCCCACAGTTTAACGTGCCCACAGAAAGAATGCATACATGCATAGGAAACTGACACACAACAAATAAAAGTATAGCGCATGTGTTATTTGTGTAAATATACAGTGTGCTGCCATAACAAACAGCCTGGGTTCTTGGTGGCTTAAAACAACAGGGTTTATTCCTAGCTCACTCACATAGCTCTGCTAGAAAGCATTGCTCTGCCAACTAGGCTGATGAAGCAGCCGCCATCTGGAGCTTTGTCAATCGTCCTTGCAGAGAGAAAGAGAAGAGCATCTCCTCAGAAGTAACATACATCACTTCTTCCATTTCTTCAGCCAAAGCAATATCATGACCACACCTGACTTCCAGAGTCCTAGGAGGAGCAAGCCTATTGAGCATCCAGAAAGAGAATTTGAAATATACAGTGGATGCTTATCTTTTAGGACAGCTCAGATATCTTCAAATCAGGAATTCAAATATTTGAGTACCACACAGCAGAGTGGTTAACAGCTCAGTCTTTGAAGTTAAGCCTGAGATTGAATCCTGGCTCTGCCACTTACCATCTGTGTGAGTTTAAGAGAACCTCTTTAACTCTCTAAGCCTCAGTTTCTTTTTTTATTTTTTTCTACTGCATCGGGTTATTTTGAGAATGAATACTTTGTGAAGAGTCCAGCATAGTGCCTGGCATATATAGTAAATGCAAATTACTCTGTTGCCACTGTTGCAGATATAAAATAAAATGGTAGTGTCTTTGCAAAGTTTCTTACCTTTTCTGTAAAGCCTTTCCTCTTCTCCCTTCCACCTCAGGAAGAACTGACATACTCTTCTCTGTGACCTCATTGTGCCTGGTATGTTGTTACGTCGCTGCACTGATAAGTTTGCACTCGTTCTTCTTGGTTGCACTTACTAGTTTACATAACTGTTTTTTCCTACTAGACTGCCTCTTATAGGAAGGGACCGTGTCCTAATCCATTTTTGCGTCTCCTGTTCCTAGTACAGTTTCTGATACATAATGGAGCTCAGTAAGGTCTTGCTGAATAAATAAATGAATGAACATCATGACCATAAAGGCTATCAAATCACCATAGAAAGTAAGTGCTGGATATCTCAGTTACCTTCATCGGTAGAAAGGAACAATTGTATAGATAATCCAGATATTAGATCATCCCAATTATATGTGTATGTTGCTTTGGAACATTAATATGATGTTTTGCAACATTCAGTCACTCATCTAACAAGTATTTATTAAAAATTCTATATGCTAGGTACAAGGAGCTCTGGTGGTGTAGTGGTTAAGGCGTTTGACCGGTCGGTGGTTTGAACCCACCAGTTGTTCCACGGAAGAAAAATGAGGCAGTCTGCTTCCATAAAGATTTATAGCCTTGGAAATCCACTGGGGGTTGCTATGAGTTGTAATCGACTCAATGGCAGCAAGTGATGTGCTAGGCAATTCAATCTGGCAGGGTCTGTATGTATAGTCACCATTTATGTTAGATGGTGCTGCCCCAGGCAGTGTTGGCGTTCTGTTGTACATAAGGTTGCTATGCGTTGGAATTGACTCAACAGTACCTAACAACAACATGCCAGGGAACAGAGATAATGTTCGTTTTGCTAAGAATAAAATGAAAAGATGTGGCTGCTGTTCTCAAGAAGAACCAATCAGATCGCCAAACAACCAGTTAAAAAAAATAGGTGGGAAAGGAATCACTCCAGTAATCCTTTCAATTGAAATTATCCCTTATGTATGTGAGTATCAATAAGATTTGAGGTCCAAGGAAGGCTTCCTGGAAGAGGCTACTAAACTGAGACTTGGTAGAGAAGTAGGAGTTAGAAAGGGAGTAGAGGAGATTTTCTAGGCATGAGATGACATTAGTGGTGCTGGTAGTAGCCAGATGACACAGGGCCTTGTGAGACTGCTTAAGAGGTTTTGGTCATTATTTCTGTGGGTCTTTATAGAAAGGTTTTAAGCTGGAATGTGATATGATTAGATTGTGTTTTTGAAAGAACACTGGCAGTGTTCAGAGTGGGACCACCCTAGAGATGGATGCAGTCAGGAGACTTGCTACTTTCCAAGCAAGACATGGTAGTAGCCTGAAGAGTGAGATTAGCAATAACCTTTTACGTGAGACATTATTGTAAACAGCAGAACAGAAGTGACAAGGGTGGTCAGAATGTGCTGTCCTCTGTGCTGGCTGTTTTGGATATAGATGGTCAAGAACTGCCTAAGTTTCCAAATGAGTTATCCCCCTCATTTATATTAGGAATCTAGTCAGTTAAAGATCACATTGACCTTCATCATAAGTTTAAGGATACTGTACTAATAACTGATCTTCAGGTGGTAACGACCCCTAATGCCTTGAAGTTACTCTTTTTCCCCATTTATACTACCTCTTAGTTAATGAAGGGAAATCTTTTATTTTTTTTAAGTGGTAAGATTCCTCATGGCAATCACCTTTTATTTTATTTATTTTTGAGGATAATTGTTGCACGTATTTCTCTCTAGATTACACATTGCTTAGGTGGCCAGATTTCATACACCTATCTCCCTCTGCCCTCATCCTCTACCCCCTACCTAACTTAGCACTGGGAGTATAACAACCAGTAAGTGATTGATAGTCATCTTAGACTTACATACTGTGCCCTTTTTGGAAATTATGTGCATATGGCTCTCATTATATGACATCCTAAGTCAACTTCTTCCTTTCCCTCAACATAAGACACTACAGTATTTTCCTTACAACCTCTCTGGCATAAACTTTTTTTTTTTTTTTTGCATTACAAAAACATTACTCCAATCATCATTTAAACAGATATTTCCCTAGTATATGTAAGAAACTGATTTATAAAATCCATTAGAGCAGCATAATCTTACATCATTTTCTTAAAATGAGTAATGCCTGACTGCTCTTTTCAAAGAAATTTTTTAATTCCTTTTGCTTGTTTTTACTTGTTGTTGTTGTTATGTGCCGTCGAGTTGAACCCAACTCATAGCAACTCTTCCTTGGGTTTCCGAAGGCAGTATCACTATGGAAGTAAATTGCCCTATCTTCCTTCCGAGAGTGGCTGGTGGGTTTGAACCGACAGCCTTCTGGTTAGCAGTCAAGTACCTTAGGCATTAATGTTTTTACTTATATAGAATAAAACAAAATAAGTGTTAGTAAAAATTTAAACTTTAAGCTGTCAAAAACTAGATAAGCTTTCCAATTCTGTGTGAGAACCTAGTATTACATGAGTATAGAAAAAGTCAAGAACTTACGGTAGGATCAAGCTGTATTTATGCCTGATAATTTGGAGGGAAAATCTATTATTCTTCTTGTCTGATAAGGCTGAATCTGTCAGAGATTCCCTTTCTGGCTTGAGAATGGTTACAGTTTTGTGTGTATCATAGAAAAGTGGGAAGGGCCGCCCAGTGGATAAATAAGTTAATGGTTGAGAAATAACTAGTTAAAGCAGACTTCTACATTTTAACTGGACCAAGAGCACTACATGTTTTTACAATGTTTATCACTATTGATTTGATCATTTACATACATTTGCTTAATAACTAAGTTGGATAGTTGGCTCTACCTATGAACTTGTCTTTTTATAGTGAGTTAAGAAAAGGAACCTGCCTTCGATTTGCTGGAAGTGGGAATGAAGAGAATCGAAACAATGCATATCCTCACAAGGCAGGTTTTGCCCAACCTTCAGGTCTTTCTCTGGCCTCTGAAGAACCCTGGAACTGCCTGTTTGTGGCAGATAGTGAGAGCAGTACTGTGAGGACCGTCTCGCTGAAAGATGGAGCCGTGAAGCACCTCGTAGGAGGAGAAAGAGACCCCATGGTAATGAAAATCATTTCACACAGACAGTATATGCCTGGGTGCTTCCTAAGCTCTCGATCTCATGAAATGTGGAGAATTAATAAAAATTTAGGAGAGAGAGTTCGTGGCCTCATGAATTAAAAGGGAAGTCAGATCAAAGGAAATGTGAATATAAAGAAACACAAAATAAAACCATGTAAGGAAAGTATACTGATTCTACTTGGTTATATATAAATGTTAATGCTTCAGGGAGAAAGGAAAGATAAGATATTTATTAATGACTGGAGAGAAAAGAAGAATGTGACTCAGATGGTTGTCAGGGGAATGGTAAAAGCACCAGACTAACAGACTTGACCTGTCCCTGACCAGTGTGTGACTGTTGTAAAACTATTAAGTCCTGACCAGTGTGTGACTGTTGTAAAACTGTTAAGTCCTGACCAGTGTGTGACTGTTGTAAAACTGTTAAGTACTACAACCTAATACAGATTCAAAATTCCAGCATATTTTCTAGTTTCTAAATCAAGTCCCCAGCCCTATTGGTATGAAAATCAGACCTTCCCCTTGACTTACATAGCATATGCAACAGTCTCAATTTTCACTTTATACCTTTACAAAGCACTATAAAAATTTTAATAAATGTTCTTTCTTTTTTGAAAAATAAAAGAATTTATTTGCTTTTGGTGATACTGATGGAGTAGGAATCAATGCAAAGCTTCAGCACCCACTTGGAGTGACTTGGGACAAGAAAAGAAATTTACTTTATGTGGCAGACTCATACAATCACAAGGTGAGTCTTGACATTATTATATAACACCCTCATTTTCATGTGTCGTATTTAATATGCTGAAAGAGAGCCTCCTACAACTGCCACTCTAAAGTTCAGAGGGGATGCACAGTCTTTGACAACTGTATACAAGTTTATTCTATTCTTTCTTGGTCTCTTCTTGGCCAAGAGTTTAAGATGATGCTGTGAGCTGGGGAAAGTATTCAACAAACTCCCAGTGGCTGTGGGCAAAAGTTGTGAATTTCAAGCCGTCAGAGCTGCTTAGTAACTTATTCAGTAAATGAGGAGAAGGCTAATAGCAGGGGAATGAACATGTTAACTAAAAGGGGGACATTTTTGAACTGTTGCGTAGTTATACACACTGTTAGCAAATAATTCCATTATCAGCAGCATATCCATTCTCTACTGCCTTGTTTTTTCAGTTTCTATAAAGATCAGTGGAAAACAAATGTTAATACTTTATGATGGGAGACCGTAGTTTAATATAATTGACATGCAACAGGGAAGGAATCTTTAAGTTTAACAAAAGCAGCAAATCCTCAGCCAGTATTAGATGCTCATGAGTAGAAAGTGAGTTCAACTGTGAAAGTGTGTCCGGTTTTGAAGAACTAAATTTTTTAAATAAGTACAAACTCTCAGAAATAATTCCATCAAAAATTACTTCTGAAACATAAGATACAAGTTTTGCCTGTTGGAATGGCATCTCTCTCCTTAGACTGAAATTTGAATGTTTGGCTTTTTCAAGAAATTATGGAACTGCCTGTTCTGTGACTTAGTAGGAACAGTGATGGCAGTCAGAAACTCTTTAGCCTTGTAGAGCACTCCTCCATTCTACAAACATGAGATTGACCAGTGTATTTTCTTTCTTTCCTCTTTAGATCAAAGTTGTGGATCCAAAAACAAAACACTGTTTAACATTGGCAGGAACAGGAGACGCAAGTAATGTTATCCATTCCAGTTTTAGAGAGTCAACTTTTAATGAACCAGGAGGCTTGTGTATTGGAGAGAATGGCCAGTTACTATATGTAGCAGACACAAATAATCATCAAATTAAGGTGATGGATTTAGAAACAGAAACAATTTCTGTGGTAAGTAATCTTAGAGTATAAGTTAAAGGGTATTATTTTTGGAGTGAATTAAGATTCTTATGGCACTGACAGGCGTTTTTGGTTAGGCCATGGCTAGTGGTGATACTGATACATGTCGATAGATACGTGTACGTGAATGTCTGTGACGTTTACTTTGAGAATTTGGCAACAGAACTACCGTGCTGAGAGTGTGAGAAAGATCCTGGAGGTTAGTTGCTGTTAGGTGCCATCAAGTCGATTCTGACTTACGGCGACCCTGTCTGTATACAACAGAGCAAAACCCTGCACAGTCCTATGCCATCCTCAGAGTTAATTGCTGGTATGTTTGAAGTCGTTGTTGCAGCCACTGTGTCATGCCATCTTGTCGAAGATCTTTCTCTTTTTCACTGACCTTCCGTGTTACCAAGCATGATACCCTTCTCCGGGGATAGTCCCTCCTTATAACATGACCAAAGTATGAGAGAGAACCTCTCACCATCCTCACTTCTAAGGAGCATTCTGGCTGTGCTTCTAAGAAAGACTTGTTTGTTCTTCTGGCAGTCCATGTGTATTCAGTAGTCTTTGCCAACATCATAATTCAAATGCATAAGTTTTTCCTGAGTCTTTCTAATTCATTATCCAGCTCTCACATAATGTATGAGGCCATACTGTAACTTGGGGCCACATACCTTAGTGTTCAAGAAAAAAAGTTTTCTTTAACATTTTAAAGAGGTCTGTCGCAGCAGATTTGCTAATATAATATGTTGTCTTTTTTTCTCGACTGCTGCTTTCATGGGGGTTGATTGTGGATCCACGTAAAGTGAAATTCTTGATAATTTGAGTCTTTTCTCCATTTATCATGATGTGCCTTACTGGTCCACTGACACACACTACTCACATCATACTCTGTGGTTTGGGTTGTTAATTTTTTTAATATTCCTTAGGTTAATGTGTAATCCCTGTTTCTACTGGTGAACCCATTAACAAATGATTTTCTAACGGAAGTTCTAGAAGCTACATTTCTTAAGACATTGAAAATCAGTTCATAAGAAACTTAGATAAGTCCTAACCAATTTTTAAGCATATAAACATGGTCTGTAGTAGAACTTTGAAGGGGAAATGTCCACTACAAGGTATTTCTGCAAGAAATGTTTTTCCTAAAATTCTAGGAATTTCTAAGATATATATTTTAAAATTTAAAAAAGAAAACAATTACCATTATAGGTGTCACTTATCTCAACATAGATCTCTGGTATAATATGCATGACATCATGTACTTGACCATGAAAATGATGAGTATGTATACTACATTCACTACATTTCAAGGAGCTCTGGTGGTGTACATATTAAAGAATTAGACTGCTAGGCCAGTGGTTCAAACCCACCAGTCGCTCAGTGGGAGGAAAGAGGAAGCAGTATGATTTCAGGAAGACTTACAGCCTTGGAATCTCTGTGGGGCAGTTCTCTGTCCTAAGAGGGTCACTTTGAGTCAGAATCAACTTGATGGCAGTGGGTTACATTTAAACTGCTAAAGTTTTACTTTATTTTTCTGCCATCTCTAAACATCCATTAATGTAATTCTTCTTATTTGTGCTGATAATCTTTTTGCCAGGTGAAATTTTTTCTGTACCTACAAAATACTCTTGTGGTCGTCTAACTAAACACATTCTTGTTTAGACTAGAATGTAGTTACATTTCATTGACATAGAACTTTCAGTTTTCTACTGAAATCTAAAAAGAGTCTCTCTCACTCTACAGTTACCGTAAAGTATTTGTGCTTCAACAACAGATTTTCTTATTTTGCAGCTCCCTGTCATCAGATCTGAAAATGCTGTGGTGGATGGCCCGTTCCTACGAGACAAGCAGAAGATATTACCCAGACTACCTAAATCTGCTCCAAACGTCAGTCTTTGCCCAGTGACTGCATCCCCAGGCCAGACTCTGCAGTTCAAGTTGAGATTAGACCTCCCCTCAGGAACAAAGCTAACTGAAGGAGTTCCCAGTTGTTGGTTTCTAACAACCGAAGGTATGATTATAATCTTGCAGATGTAAATACCCCGCAAGTCCGTGATGTTTCTTCTAGTAATCTTCTCATGTGTTGTGTGATGTTTCTGCTCTGTGGTTGGGCAGGGTTTGAGGGAGACACATAAGAAATGAATGCAGATCAAACCCCACTTTGGCAGCTTCCTTTGCTTTTGAGATTCTTTTCTCCCTTTTATTAAAAAACAGTGTAACTCACCCGAAGTTACATGTCCGTCGTTAGCACTGTTTCTTGGGATACAGCTTTTGCTTTATCCTAATTTTTTTCTTCATTATCTTGTTCCCAGAAAGAGCTGCTTAAAGTTGAAAAATCTGCAGTGGAAAAATGAAATGCCACCTCCTGACTTAAAATCTTTTACTTTTATGCACTCCTCTCTTTGTAAATCTCTTTCAGGCCCTTCATTCACTATGTATTTGCACAGAAGTCAACATTTTAAGCTACAAGGATTAAATGCTAAAGGGACATTTCAGCATCAGCCTACTGATTTGGGAGAATGTTAAAGGAGCATCAAGGCTGTCAAATACCCTGAAATACTATTTTGGGAATACAGGCAGTCCTCAGAGTATGAATGAGATCCATTGCTGACTGTGTTTAAGAGTTTGTAGCTAAGTCAGGACAGGTGCTTTGTTCTGTTTAGTCTTACTTTAGTGCAAGGAAAGGCGCTCTGGGGGTGCAGTGGCTGAGGCATTTGGCTGCTAACCTAAAGGTCAACAGTTTGAATCCACCAGTGGCTCCTTGGAAGAAAGATGAGGCAGTCTGCTTCCGTAAAGATTCACAGCCTTGGAAACACTGTGGGACAGTTCTGTTCTGTCCTCTGGGATCACCATGAGTCACAATTGACTTGATGGCAGTGGGTTTGGTTTTGCTTAGTTGAAGAAAACTCTTAAAGCCTTTTCAGTGATTTAAAAGCTGCACTTGCAGCAAGTGAAGGTGATTGTGATGAAGAACTGTTGTGAGTAGGGGCTGGTTCATTTCTTTCAAAGTGAGGACAAATTTACACAACATTGAAGGGCAAGTAGGAGTTGTCCTCAGTGGACCATTCATAACCTGGGGACTGCCTGTGCTGTTGGTAAGGTAGGGGCTGCTTGTGTGAGACCTTTATAAAGGCTAGAAGAAGTCATGATTTGTAAAACAAAAACAAAAAAGAATTTTCTTTTTTCAAAATTTTTTCCATATGTCAGATATTTTGCTGAAGACACCTTTCTGTTTTCCCTCAAAAGACTGAGGATACGAGAAAAACTCTATACGTGTGGTTGAACTGTAGCCAGACCCATTCAATCAGAATTTACCCCATTTGCTCCTGGGCAAGTCCATCCCATGAGGCAGATTGCTGTGGTCTCAGAGTGATCTTGATTATTAGCACTGAAAGGCATCAAGACACCATCTACTACCCCAGCTCTTCTTATTTCCCGAATAAGGAAACTGATGGCTCAAAGAGATGAAGTGACTTGCCTAGGGGCTTATATAGAATTAAGTCAAAATCTGGAATTTGAACCAGTTCTGCTAGTTACTAGTGTAGTACTGTTTCCATTCTGTGCTATTTTATCTCCAACTGGCTGGAGGAGCAAATTAATATTTTTTAAGGACATGCAAAATTCAGAGCCACCAATTATACATTTGAGTGTCATGGCAAAGTCAAATTGCTATAAAAGTTTCTAAGTCCTTACTCTGGATTTCTGGACATTACTCATCATGGCTTACGGATTCATAGCAGTCCGTGGACTACACTTTGAGTAGCACTTTTCGCACGCTCCAGCATAAAGAGATCAGGGAGAGAAGGAAGCAGCCAAGAGGATTGAAATGAGGACAGGCAAGCAGGAGGAAGACCAAGAGAGTAGTTTCCTGGGAGCCAGGTGTTTTAAGGATAAGAGAGCTAATAGCTGTGCCAAATGCTATTGATAGATCAGGTTAAGATAAGGACCAAGAATTGACCGTTGATTTAGCAGCATAAAAGATACATGATATCTTTTACCAGAGTCATTACCAAATAGAAAGGAGCTCTGGTGGCATAGTACCTAAGGCATTTGACTGCTAACCAGAAGGTTGACAGTTCAAACCCACCAGCCACTCCATGGAAGGAAGACCGGGCAATCTACTTCTGTAAAGATTTACCTCCTTGGAAACCCAATGGGGGTCACAGTGAGTTGGAGTCAACTCAATGGCAGTGAGTTTGGTTTTTTTGGTTTATTTCAGAATAGTGGAGGAAATACCTGATTAGAGTGTGTTAAAAAAGAAGAACTGGGGAGATCAAGTATAGGCAACTCTTTCAGGAATTTAGCTAAAAAGATTAAAGAAAAAACAGGGCAGCTACTAGACGGGGAAAATGGAGTTGAGAGAACAGCATTCTTGTTATATTGGTGGCAAAGACCCAGTAGAGGACAGAATTGATGATACGGGGCACTGGGAAGTGGTATCCTTGAAAATGTGAAAAGGGGATGGGATCTCATGCACCAAGTTGGCCTTTGCCAGGAATCTGGTCATTTCCATAGTAAGGAGAGAAGGTCCGTCTGGACCCAGAGGCCAAGTTGAGTAGCTGTGGGGTAAGTGCTTCTGTTGTTAGTAAATGGAAAGCAAGACCATTGGCTGAGAGTAAATGAGAGGAGACAGAAGGTTTTAGAGGTTTGAAGAGAGAAGAGGGAGGGGGAAGGGCTAGACGAGGAAAATACAGTGTGATTGCTGAACAGCCTTAAGGGTCCACTTGAGTTTGTTGTTGTTTAGCTGTCATGAATTTAGAGTTTGTTTTTCTCCAGCCAAGTTTAGCCACAAGGTGCAGGCAGTCTAGGTAGTCTTAAGTGACTCTGAGTAGTGTTAATTAGCGGGTCTGTTATGAAGCCAGATAGATGATCAATCAAAGTAGCTCTCTAGAGTCCTGAACCACTATTAATAGTTCTTACCACTGTGCCTTCCATAATACTGTGATAGAAATTTCAGATTTTAATCTAAATAAATTTCAGATTTTATTCTGTATCAGTTTTTGATATGATAAAACATTTTTTGGGAAAAATATGTTCTTTTAATTGAAGTAACTTAACATCTCTTTTTAATTCAGTTCTTCGATTCTTCTATTTGTCATCATCTTTTACTTTTTTAATCACATCTACCAAGTGTTTTATCATTTTCAGTTGTTGTTCATCTTATTCCAATAGTATCATTAATATTTGACTTACCAGTTACTAAGCCTGAAGCTGTATTTCTTCAGAAATGCCTAGGTAGAGTTTAGCCCTGTTAACTTGCTTTACTACAAGAAATGGATGCCAAAACCATCCTTTGAAAGTATGCTCTACAAGTAGAAAATAAGACATTGTTGGAGAATAAGTAAATGAATACAATATGTAATTAAATGCAGATGAACTGCTGAGATCAGAATGCAGGAGAGCCTTTTTCCTCACTGACTGACTTGGGTCTTTTTAATCTTAGAGCACTTGCTGTTTGAGTATATTTTCATATTCTTTTATTGTAAAGTGTGTAAAGATTGAATTTGTGTATGAACTAGCTCCTTATTTCAGCATTATATTGAATATATAGTCATTTTTAATCATCATTATTGGTAAGGAATCAGTATATTGCTTGTCTTAATATTAGAGCTTTCCAACATTTGTAATCGAGTGGACAACAATACTAAAGTAAAATATTAGCAGTCTAGAACTTGTCAGTTGTGACATCTTGTCTCTAATGATCATACTCTGTCTCCCATTTTCCCCCCCAACTCTTCCTTTCTCATACCTTCTCGGGCTCTTTTATTTTGTACCTATCCCAATCCAGGCTTTATGCCTTCTCTCTTGGTTCTTCTCAGTTACAGCAGCTATAGTCCTGCAACAATCAACCAGGAATCCAAACCAAGAAGACAGGGATCTTGGTAGACTGCTTAGGAGGAGCTGCTGGTTAGAGTTTGGGAGGTGGCTCTCGGGTGATTGAGCTGTAGATGCCTCCACACATACCCCTACTCTACCCCACACACACGCACACATGCACCCACACACACAAGGGAGAGGGATGAGCCATGTAGTACTCAAACTTGGCATGCCACAGCCCTCTGTAGGTTCAGCTAAGTCCTAGACTGCAGTTTAACTGTTTTGTCTTGTGTCCATTAACTCTGAAAAAGTTGCATCAGTTAGAGATCACTATTAATTTTATTTTGCTCTGTGTAATTAAAGAGCATATTGATTTTTAAAATAGAGTATTGACAAATTAACGTGCTTGTTTTAATTTAAACATACAAATTAATTAATATTGAGTCATTTGGGATACAGAATTTGCACAGTGTTAAAGGGAAGTGAAGTCATCAGTGGAGAAAACATTGAGCTTTTTTATTACTTGTCTGAAGATACTGGCTTCATTTCTATTACATAGGAGCAAACAGGCTTTCAGGAAAGAATCCTGATAATTTAAGGTTTTTAAAAATTATTTTATAAGGCAGATTTATACACTTATGATTAAAGGGCATTTTCTCTTCCTAGTTGGTCATTTAGAGACTGTAACATTTATTATTAACTAATTTTGGTCTGTATAATTTTGGTCTTTAAAGAAGTCAGCATATGTGAAGGTTTTAAGCCCCCCCAAAAAAAAGAGAGAGAGAGAGAGAGAGAGAGCAGTAGCATAAAAAGCCCCCGGGGTGTGTTAGAACATTACCTGTAAAATCCCAGGGCACTGTATATGAAAACCATCGTAAGAAGTCATTTCTGTGTTTTATTTCTATAATTGGACATTAAAATAGCAGTTTATTATCTTCCTGTTTTGATTTAAAATGTGTAAGAAGTTCTCTATGAATCTCATTTCTAACAAAATCACATATTAAATAAAACATACTCCCCAGACCAGAAATAAGAAAACCAAAGAACACTGAAAAGAATTATTAAACAGCTCCTGAATCAAAGCTCTGCGCTTTAATCTTTAGATTCTCACCTCTCACCTTCTCCTTACTCCTACTTAACACATTTTTCCTTTCAGCCAACACAGTATTATAAGCAGTAACCTACAGGAATCACAGAAAGGGCCAACAGAGGCAGGTACTCTTGTCATCAAAAATGTCGACAGCCTGAGGTCAGGAAAAAATGAGAAGAGCTAAAATGTAGACAGAATGTCTGTACTACTCGATAGGTGGTCCCTTTAGGACAGATGGCCCCAGTCGCCAGTAAGCTGTGAGAGTGCGTCCAGTGCTCTCTGCTTCAGGAGTCAGGGAGCGAGGCTCCACCCATTTCCCCCCCCCCCCAGCACTAGCTCTCGACACCTGCCCCCTGCAAAGCCCAAGGCTGGTGCAAGTGTGTGCTTGCTCAGTGTGACACAGATCTCGCAGATCCTTCTGAGAGATGAATAAAAACAGTTTTTAAATTTTAATACCCAGAGGCTTAAAATTTTTAGTGGTTTATTACACTTTTGTTCTGTAGAAAATCTACATATTTAAGTCTACAAAGAGTTTTATGTATTAAAATAAGGTAGTTGCAAAATTTTACTTTTTACATTGAGCCAACAGAAATAATCAGTGTTACCTATTTGTAAAGATACTGGTGTTATTTTTTTTCTTAATTTTGGATGTTCAATGGTTCATCATCATCTTAACCAGAAAGTCATTACAGAGTTGTGTATACATTTCTACTCCCTAAGTAAGTTTATTTTGTAGTTTTCTTTTTTTCATCCTGAAGACTTTTATCTGTTTCATAAAAATGATCTATATTTTCAAGTGTCCCATTCTGTTTATTTCTGAAACTTGATACATTTTACTTTAACCTTAAGGATTAAAGATCTCTGACTATATTTGCAATATTCAACTTGGTTTCAGTAGAAAGACATTTATTTATTTTACAGTGTTCGAATGGGAAAAATTTAAATAGTTTGAATAAAGATTATTAGACTGGGAACTTTTCATTGATGGTCATTATATCCGGTTTATACGTGTGTCCTCTGCACAAAGCACAGTGCCTGTTACTCAGAGACTGTAAATATCTGTTGATTGAATGAATCTAGTCTTCAAGAGGTATTTCTAATTTCCTGCTTGTCATCTTATACGGTCTTAATAACCGTTTTTATTTTCTAGGCAATGAATGGCTTTCTCAAGGACAGATATCTTCTGGAGAAATAGAGAGCATTTTCAATCAACCAACAATCTCACTGCAGATACCTGCTCACTGCTTGTCCCCGGAAGCCATTATATCTGTCAGCGTGTTTCTTTATTACTGTAGTGCAGACAGCAGTGCCTGTATGATGAAGGGGATCTTGTTCAGTCAGCCTTTACAAATAATTGATACACAGCAAGGCTGTACAGCTGCAGTGGAGCTCAGATATGCATTTTAGCAAGCTAGCTGCCACCCAGCACCACAGCCGCTGGCCCCCATCCTCACCATCGCTGTCACTTACGAGAAGCTTTATTTCTGCCTCTGCAATACCAAGATCCCCGGTGCTCAGTTCTAGCACGGATATTAAAACTGTTCCTTTTCTACTTATTTATTATAAGCAAAGCCCTTCATTCTGGCTGTGGAGCAGCTGTGTGTTGATCATCCTTTGAACTATGACCTTATAATCTGTGCTGCTATTTGGTACAAGACTAAAGACCACTCTGTAGTGCAGCATGTTATCATACAATAATTTGCAGTGAACATTGATAATAATAATAGTACCAAATATTTTAACTGACTTTTTCTACTTGTATTAATAGAAATCAGCACATTTGAATGTCTCGATCTCACAGACTTTAAACAGTCCACATGCTGGTAAAAGATACCTGCTATTCAAGGCATGAGGTCTGTTTAAGGCAAGGTCTCTGTGCTGCAGGAGGGTGGCAGGGAGGGACTTCACCGTCAAAGTTCAAAGAGTACCTGAGTGGTGAACAGTGTCCTTTGTTCTCAGCTGTGATTTTCTCAGCTGAAATTACAGTTAAAAGAGATCTATTTTTACTATAAATTGTTTGCTATTTTAACATAATATTATCAATGCTGCCTAACCTTACAAAGTTGAAGATAAAATCTTTAAGGGTGTATAAACTCATTCCATTCAGAAAACTGTGTTTTCTGAATGAACACAGATAAAAAAAAATGAGTCCCCAAAAGTAATAATGACTTTTGAGGAGAAAAGAATTTAGAGATACGTTACTGGTTATGATACTATTTAACTATAAGGAATTCACTGTGACCACTAAATCCAGTGATAATTTGGTGGAGTGGGATGGGGTGGGGGTGTTCTGATCTTACAGACTTATGTTTCACTTGTAGGGATTAAACGCAAATTTGTTGGGGTTTTTTGTTTCGTTTTGGTTTGGTTTGGTTTGACTTACCTCCCTGTTCATAATTTAAATTAGGAACATATTTGAGGATTTCTTTTTCTTTTTTAACACTTTTTAAGCTTTCAAAGCAAACCATTCAATGTGAAGTGCTATCATGTGATCAATAGGCATAGTATAGACCCTAATATATTACTATTTAAAATAGTCAGGCTAACACAGCTACTTGATAACATTTTATAGTTACTGTTTTTAACCCCAAAAGAAACAGCTGCTGAAGAGTTACTGAAAAGTTTTTTAAATTATTAGCATTTAAGTTTATAACTATTTAAAAGCCTATTCTTGTTTATGCTGAAACTGATTCCACATGTTTGTGATGAAATCAGCTTACGAGATTTTAAAAGCTTCAGGTAAATTTTACTTGTTTATGCAGTAAATATTGAGAGACACTGTGTATGGCGCAATATGCCTTGCTCCCCTTGTGAACCAGCCCTGAGCTTCACGTGTGACCTGCTGAGCACTGTCGTCTGGCTACTTCTTTATGCTTTCACATGTGTCACACGGTGTCACCTCCTTCCCTTCTGGTTACATAAACCTCTGAAGTTTAGAAGTGCACAGATCATGACTTTCATTTAGTTTGTATACCTGCTAATGCTAATTTTTAGAGAAAATTCAAAGGAATTCTGTTTATGTCATTACCTCATAAGCCTTTTCTCTCTCTAAAAACAACAAAAAAAAACCTGTTCTATCACTAAAGGCTGTAAACCATTAATATGTTCTTTTATCAAGAATAGAACTTACTCATTTTTCATCTCACTTGATTATACTTCTTCTTTCCAGTTGAACAGGATAAAAGCATTTTGTCTCAGTCACTTCCTATATAAAAACATAAGTGATTTCACTCTTGGAAAGAAGTGCATCCACTTAAAATATGCTAATTTTAGAAATTCCTGATCATTTATTTTTCAGTATAATACACACATAAACACACAAGTATGCATGTATGTATGTATGTATGTATGTATTTTCATGTAAGTTAAAAATGCAAAAGACAGAAATTTAGTAATTTTCCCTTTGTTTGCCTACAGTTTTAAGTTAGTCATAAAAAGACCAAACCCACTGCCATTGAATCAATTCTGATCCATTGCAAACCCCACTGGGTTTCCAGGACTATAAATCTTTACAGAAGTAGATTGCTTCATCTTCCTCCTGTAGAATGGCTGGTGGGTTTGAACTGCCAGCCTTCTGGTTAGCAGTCAAATGCCTTACGCACTGCACCACCAGAGCACCTTAGGTCAGGCTTAAGCATAGACTTTTCTTGACTTTCAAAGTACAGTTGCATTGAACATTCTTAGGCTTATCTAATCTAGCCCCCTGTGTCCATGGTTTTTTTACGTTAAAAATATTCTTTATAGTAGATTAGTATGGTTTTGAGTAAATCTTGCTAAAGCAGTATAAACAGGTTCCTAGAACTTATTAACATGAACCTCTTAGGTAAGAGGAAGCACTAGAAAGTTTACTTTTAAAACTTTCTGATCCTAGCCTGCCTTCTGTTTTCTGTAAGGACTTCTGTATGTTTTTTAACCTCTGCTTTTGCTACTGCATAAATTATTGTGTCCAGTGATAGTTTAAAGAGAGTAAGATTTTAGTGTAAATTACCTGAATCTGAGTGCCAGTGATATGGCATTGCACACTTCAACATAACACATGGAATCTTTGCCCTGAATCACTGTGCTGTTTTGTCACTGCTTTTTTCCTGTCTTTGTGATACCATTTCACAGGTGGTAGAGTTTGTTTCTGAACATATACTCCCTCAGCATTGACGTGATCCCTGTAAAGAATCTCGCTTATCTTGAATATGCTGTCTGCCTCAAGCAAATATTTAACCTATTTACAAGGGAAAACATTGTAATTTAATCACCCATAGATAGAACTGGCAAAGTTCAATGACTAAGAAACAATTTTCTCCTTAACTATTCTAATAATATATTTAATCGTTAAGTATTACCAGACCTGCAGAAAGCTATCAATCTTAACACAGCCAAAAAAAAGTTTTTGTGTGTATGTGTTTGTGTATGTACATTAACAGATAAAAAGATCAAGCCTTTCTCACATGTATTTCTTTTTTGATCAGTATAATTTTGCGCTAATACCACTGGGGTAAGTTACTTCTGCTTGTTTTTTAGTAATTGGAAATTTTGAGAAGATATTGAAAACATACATCTCTGTATTAGTATTCTTTTCTACCTGTACAAAATTTACTATTTGTTAATATCTGCCAATGAAAAGGTCTTCATTCTACCTGTATATTTGGCCTTCTATTTAAGAACAGTCATCAGAAAGTAACTGAATCCTGTAGTTCATAATTACATAAAAATATGTGCAAAAGGAATATGTCAGTAGTGGTACCCAGAATGATGGGATTGTGGAGGTTTTCATTTTAATTTTACTTTTTTGCATTTTTGTTTGTTATTACAATGAGCAATGAGTTATTTTCAAAGTCAGAAGATAAAACTGTAAATCTGTTTCAAAGATTTAAAGTAACTGAATAGTAAGCACTTACTGTGTAGTAACTTTTCTAAAGTCACTTTTGTTATCAGAGATCAAAACAGTTTGGAGTCCTTTGGTATACCAGATCTCTTAAGTCAGTGATTTGGTGGAGATGCAGTAATTGTGCCTTTTTTCTTCCTGTGTTTTCATTGTGTAATGTAGTTGCATGATTAAGATCATGGACTTTTAGTTAGTTGTATTCTAATTCTGTAAAAATTAGAATACAACTGGTAGCATAGTTCCTAAGCCACTTGACTGCTAACCAGAAAGCTGGCGGTTCAAACCCACTAGCCACTTCTCAGAAGGAAGATGGGGTGATCTACTTCCGTAGTGATACTGCCTCGGAAACCCAAGGAAGGGTCACTGTGAGTCGGGTCTGACTCGACGGCACATAACAACAACAATAACAACAGTGCCTCAAAGTAATGTTTTTAAACCTAAATCCTTCATAGTTTTATATAGCAGCTAATAAGTCCATTGTTGTTGTTATGTGCCGTCGAGTTGGACCCGACTCATAGCGAGCCCTCCTTGGGTTTCAGGGGCAGTATCACTATGGAAGTAGATCGCCCATCTTCCTTCCGAGGAGTGGCTGGTGGGTTTGAACCGCCAGCTTTCTGGTTAGCAGTCAAGGGCCTTAGCCACTATGCTACCAGAGCTCCCAGTAAATCCATAGAACCCAAAAAGACCGGGCAGTGTTGTTTTTGAAATTTAAAATTAATGTATTTAATTACATTAAGTTTTTGTTACACGCTTATCACTCAGTGTTTGGAACAGTCTTAACTGTTGTTTGCAAGAAGATTTTATATAGCATTATTTCTTGTTGTTGTTGTTGTTGTTGTTGTTATGTGCCGTCAAGTATTTCTTAAATTTAGATATTATCCGGAATTTTTTTTTAGCTCATGGATGTATTAAAAAATTAATTACCTTTCCAATGTTAGTTCCAACAGTGCTATTTTAATTGGCCTTCAGAGGTAATTAAGACCTTGTCACAGAGTAACTGAATTCTTAGCATAGAACGGTCTCAAACTGTAGAAGCTTATTCATAATCAAGAGAATTTTGTTTCGTAGCCAGAGTGAGCTCTAGAAACATAGTATCTGGCGCTTTGTTAGGACGCGTGAGTCTCCTGCTTACTTGCTTCATGAACAGACCTGCTCTACTGTGATCGGACACACGCAGCTGTGCTCCAGTGGAGGGTTCATTGGGGTGAACCTTCCCTTCAGCCTTAGGTACTACAGAAAGGAATAAAGCAAAATGCTACACACCTGGGTGTTTCATTGTTAAATTAAGTAGTAGGATGCTGCAGGAAGGAATGTGTTTTATTACATAATCTCTTTCTTGAAGGCCATAAGGAAGTGCATATCAGCTTACAAGAGGTGACGATAGCATCGTATTTTTAAAAGTAGAATTCATAGTCACCGTGATTGTCTTTTCCTTCTCCTGTGGCGCACATACGTTATTTAAATGAATGCACACTAACCAAGCATAACATAGGTCACTCTTTGTGGTAAATCATTTCGAGTATGCTTTTCTCTCATTTCTTTGCAGTGGGGTCATAGAGAGAATGATGTCCAGCTCAGACACTGGTCTAATCTGCCTCTCTGTTCCATGACCAGGACACCCTGGCCCTTTCACATCTTAGACCTCAGGTGGGACTGGCTGC